CGTGTCCCAAAGTTCGCAACTATCAGTAGCGGGTAGGTTCCCCTCCAGCTCCAATAACCGCATTAATTCTATTGGGGAGGCTGCTGTATAGGGACCGACAAATGTTGGTGTCGGCCCTGATTCGCTCCCACTCCTCTTGAACAATGGCCCAAAGCACGTCCGCTGAGACGGCACGGAGTTGTCGGTGCGCCAGCGCAAGCTTCATGTTCCCCCACACATTTTCAATAATATTTAAGTCAGGCGACTGTGGAGGCCACTCAAGAACTGCCACGTCGCGACGCTCTAAATATGCAGCAACTTTCTTTGATTTATGAATGGGGGAGTTGTCATGCTGCAGGATGAAATCGTTCTCTGGGAATGGTCCCCCAACGAGATATGGGAGCAGTACGTCGTCCAAGAGCCCGCAGTAGGCATCTGCCGTGAAGCGACCTTCAATTCTGACAAGGGGTCCCAGCCCTTGAGCGGTTACGGCGCCCCCAAACGCTCACTGCCGAACGACCGCTGGCTGCCACTCGTTGCATGTATTCCGGCATATACCTGCAAAAAATCAACATAAGTTATTAGCGTCTGAATCAAATCCGAAGGACATGAATTATGTTCTAGGTGGTTCACTCTTGTAGCTGTTGGATATACAGCCGCCCATTTTTTTATCCTGAACGCGCGAACGTCGACCGCCCCAGTCGATAAGCGCCGTTTAACGAAGCACATCGGCAAAATAAACGAGAATACGTGCATCCCTGCGATGAACAGTCCTGTGCAGCTGACTTCTGCTAGGCTGTTTCGGGAACCGCACACCAGGACGCCCGAAACATGCGCTTACAGACTCGATGGTCGATGCTCGCGCATTCAGGTTAAAAATTGGCGGCTGTACTACATTGACGGGACCAAACAAGTTTTCACTTGATGACGTCATACAAAATATGGCAAACGGCGCCGTATTTTTCTCACCTCACATCGCAACATAGATGACAATTTATAACATACCCCTAGACTCTGGCAGAACGTCTTTTCTAAGTATCGCACAGTGCGAGTAAATTGTTTCTTTCATATCTACTATTTTATTGGAGCAAATACTCTCTATTCTATTACATCCAGTATCTTCTGGCCAAAGTTTGCCTGAACATGGCTTAAACTAAATTTAAACTTTTGGACTGGCATTATTATCAGCTGATCATATCTGTCCGCTGAAACAGAAGTATTCTCATTATTATTATTATTATTATTATTATTATTATATTATTACTTTCGCTTATATGAACACATTTATCGTAAGGGCAATATTTCCTGAATCTAAAAGGTATTGTGGTAGTTATTATGCAGAGAATGCAGTGACGGCAGGCAATGCGGCATTTGTCTTCTTTGAAGTAGTTTCATAACGGTTTCGGGCCACCAAAACACGTTCTGGAATACGGGAACTTAAGTAAGTGTTACCTACCGGCAGTTTTGGGGCCGCCAAACCCGCTGCCGCTGGTCCCACCTTGTCGTAAACGAAGATTCATCAGTGAAGACGACCTTCGCCCAGTGTTCCTCGGTCCATTGCAGGTGCTCTGTTGCAAAGTCGAGGCGTTTCTGCTTGTTCACTCCACTTACGATGGGCTTCTGAACTGCCGTTCGAGACTTAAGGCCTGCCGCGTACAGGCGACGTTTCACGGTCGTGTTAGAAACACGCGTCAGCCCTGTACTTTGCTTGATTTCATCAACAGTTGCGCTAGGATTGTCCACAGCTGCTGCCACTATGGCCATGTCCTCATTTTCGGTTGTTACTTGCGGGCGAGGTTTGCGTGGAGCATCCGTAATCTTTCGTTCGTTCCTATACGCCTGGATTATACGGTTAATTGTGGAGAGCGGCCGATTTTTCATTGCAGATATCTGCCTTTGCGTATGGCCTTGCAGGCTCAGGTCCACAATGTCCCTCCTTTCGCTTTCGGGAAGACGCGACATAGCTGCTTGTCAAACGTTCACCGAAAAGTGATGCAGCCTTCCTAGGTCGCAGCCGTTTTTTTACCGAGCGAATGCCATAAAAGAGCAACAAAATAGAAAGACCACAGTTCCTAACTGAAATGCTCATAGCGTGATGTTAGGCCAGCCAATCAATATAATCTCAGTAAAACAACGTCTTCTGACTCGAGCGTATACAGCTTTTCATTGGACAGACGGCACAGTTAACTTGAGAATCATGTGCAACCCCGTATCCGTATCGCCAGGAGATAAGAATGTGTGATGCCCATACTACATGAACCCCAACAGGCCCGCTTAGGGTGATCTTGGAAGGCCAGAATGTGACGGCCCAGCGGAACTTTCTGGACGAGTTCATTTACACGTGTACTGACGATCAAGGTGAAAAAAAAGCGAACCAGACACCACAGACGCTAGCGCCGTCCCGTCCATTTCCCTGTTTGTGTTTCTTTGAGCGACTTATGTTTCGATAACGTGCACGTGGGTGAGACGGCAGGCTACTTCAGCAGTGGCCCCAGAATATTGTAAGTTATTGTCCAAAAATATGCTGAGGTTAAACTTAGGGCGAACTCGCATAAGACACTCCCCGAAGAAAAGACACGACACATACAAGCACTGTGTGTGGCGTGTACGGCTCGTCGGCTGAGTGCACGGAAGGCTGAAATTAAATCAGAAGTATAGGGTACTAAAGTACGAAGGAGGAGGGGAAGAACGTCAAGGCGCTGACGCAGTCCTTGGGATTTTATCACACATTGAAAACTTATAAATTGTTGCGTTCCTTGAGTTTGGCTAGGGGGTAGTAAAGACAAGAATCTGGAAGATGCGACCCTCAAGAAGAAGCTGTTTTCCGACGGTCGGGCATTTAAGTGGTGATCACGGTGTCATTACTCGCGCAGGTATATTGCAGTGAATTACATGTTTAAGCAGAAGGGTGGACACGTATAAAGTGGTGACAAAGAGTGGGGCCCCTGTTTCCCACTAAAAACCTAAATGGACGGAGCAAACGAAGCTATTCGTATAACAATACAGCAGAATAAAAGAGGTGCAATGCAGGCCTCCGCGGAAAGTAAGTGCCAGAATATAAACGCCCCGATGTTACGTGATATTGATACTTTTGAAAAAAGACAAGAGACCTTAAGACCAACGTCGCGGGATGAATATTCAGCTGGTGTTTCGTCATGGACAGAAAATGAAACAGTGCCCGTGCGCACGCAGTTTCAGGGCACGTTAAATATTTCCCGGTAGTCGAAACTTCTCAGAGCACCGCTCAGTGGCGAAATTATTTCGCGGATTTAAACACCGCAAACCAAGCAAAACCACCACTCTAGAGTTTGCAACAATGTATACATTACACTGGTATTATGGTACTTAAACAAGAGGGACCACTCATTTATCAAATACCGTAACTACAAAACACGTTGCGCTGAGCGAAGCCCGCTTTCCGGCAACGCTTTGTGGTTTCTCAGGTGCATTAAGTTTGCTTCACGGCAAAACAGGCGCGGCGCGCTCCCGCGCTTTTAATCGAAACGAAGCCCCGCCTCCAAGCTCTTGTGCGCCTGTGCCGATAAGCTTCGATGCGCGGCCGCACCGCTAGCGCTGGCGCCCCGCGGAGCGCAGCCACGCGGCGCGGTGTTCGTACTAAGAGTGGACGACCCTGTACATCGTTCTTGAATGACTGACAGCCACTTCAAAAAAAAAAAAAAAAAAGAGCGACAGGCGTGGGCAAATAAAGCATACAAATGGGGAAATGACATTCATGCCTCAGGCTTGTGAGAGACAAGACTACAAACATGACTAACAGGCCTCCACACGTCAACTTCCACACGTAAATACTTCGCCACCAGGGCGAAGCGCATGAGTGGGGTAGGAGGCAATAAGGGTTGTTTACTCACTGACTGGAGAGAGTTTTTAATTTGTTGCCGAGCCTGGGCTATCTTATCGACTAGAGAGGAACTTTGGGAGCTTTGGGAAGACTCCTTAGCCTGGAGGGAGAGAGAGAGAGACAAGAACAAGGCACGTCTCAAACTGGTGACGCGACAAGTGCCGTCTCAGCGGTATGTGAACTTTCACGACGGTGGCTAACACACGACTGCTCTTTAGCCTTCCGTTCGAGTCAGCGTTAACGGCGACAACGTTCAATGACGCAGCGAAGCCAGTGATTATGCATACTCCTCGAACCACAACGTCATTTAACGCATGCACCAAAGAGCGAAGGCTCAGTTGGCAGCAAAAACCGCATGCCCCGCCTCTCAGCACGTTGATTAATCGCTAGTGCACTGCGGGAAAGACAACATACAAACGGTCAATGCTCTTTAGGTGCGGTCGGACGCCTTACCTTGGCAAGCTGATCCCTGTTCAAGTAGCACAGGTACTGCTTTTCGGCATCGTCGTACTTTGCCTTGTCTAGCCAGACCGAATCGAGGGTGAGCGGATGTGCCATGTCGTTGAACTCTGAAACCGAAAGCCAAGAGCCGCGCAGCAGTTTCGTCAAACACGGATTGGCGAAGATCGTCGCGAAGCAGCACCCGCCGCGCAGAGACTAGACGCACGTGGTTGGCAGGGCGAAAAGAATAGCCAACAAATGCCAAAACGAGCGCCGGCGGCATCCAGTGACGACATCTTTGTTCAAGATGCCAAAGACAGTCGCCGTATTCGGCATCTCGTACACTCGCAGAGAAAAAGAAACACTGTGAATGACTTCGTCGATGAAGTCACGGTTATGCCACACTGCATCGTGAAACTTGTTAGGCTGTACCAACAGTTTAAACTATTAAAGAAAGCCTAAATGCAAAGCTTACCGGATGCCGACGCACGCAAAGGAGCAACGTGCTGCGAAAAAGGAATGGGCCGAATTCGTTCACACCGATCACGCTTGAGAGAGCCACTGGCGCTACCAACAAGGTGATCAAAATTTTCTAATAAATATTAAAACAAGTAAAAAGTTGTAACAAAATTTTGCAAACAATAATATGCGTAGGTTTAATATTATTAAAAAGTATAAAACATAGTAGTCAAGAGCGTTGTTAAGTTCGAAACTGGCGGAGGCTGTTGTCATCATGAACAGACGACACAAAAACGTGAGCTGTGTTGGGGATGTTATTTGTGTGTTGCTTGAACGTTGGATGATCAGCGTGATGGCGAGACCGTCTCTCACCGCTTGTTTAATTTACATCGTAATTTCTCCGCGCGTAAACGTCTACGTAGCATGTGACTGTCCCGGGCAAAGCGCCGGCGGTGGTGATACCTGCCCGATCTCTGACAGTCAACACGAAAAACACAAGTACCTCTACAACGGGCGCTGGTCGGGTTACTTGCAGGCCATAAACAAGAGTCTGGAGGAATACGTTCCCTGCGAAGAAGAGGACAACGAGTGTTCCTGTCACGCCCCAGTTATCGACGACGACCTCAGTCCGTGGTCTAAGACGGGCATTTCCGCCGAACTCGTCGAGCGCTCTAAGCCCAGGGGCGTGCTTTACCAAGTCGTGAACCACAAGCTGTACAGAAGCAAAGAGTGCATGTTCCCGTTCCGTTGCCTCGGCGTGGAGCACTTCATCCTCAAGATTGTGGACGAGTTGCCCGACGTGGAGTTCGTGCTCAACACGCGAGACTGGCCGCAGACGCACAGGCTCGTCGAATCCTTGCCGGTGTTCTCGTTTAGCAAGACGCGCGAATACTCGGACATAATGTATCCGGCCTGGACATTCTGGGCTGGTGGACCGGCCATCAGCCTTTACCCAACGGGTATAGGCCGCTGGGATCTGCAACGAGACATCATCGCCAAGGCGTCGAACGGAGCGTGGACTTGGGAAAAGTAACATACCTCACCTTTCGTTTTCAGTCAGTTTATTATTCGTAATAAGGTAGAGTAAAGTGCATCATATTTATAAAGTTGGACCCCAGAACTGAATGTCAGTTGTGAACGCTGTCCCTATGATAGATAGTATCTAATCAAAATTTTAAAACTATATAGTTACTTCATAGTCATTGGAATGCTGATCATGCAAAATTTTACGCAAACCCACATGCAATTTGTGTCATAGTGCTTAAGGATGAGGAATCATATGCTTGCACGAACAACAAATTAACATGTACCTTCCCAACTCACACATACCACCCAACAACAACAAGGCTACATACATTCAGGCGGCATAAAATACTTGCGCACTATGCCATAACTTGCTAGTTCGCCTACAAGTTGTTTTTTTTTTACATCTTGGGTAACACTTTTAAGTTAGCTGCATTCTTTCCTCTGTTTTTCATCCGCAGGAAAAAGGCCCTGGGATTTTTCCGGGGTTCGCGAACAAGCGCGGAACGTGACCCATTGATCCTACTGTCCCGGAGCAAGCCTGAACTTGTTGACGCACAGTACACCAAAAACCAGGCTTGGAAGTCGGACCAGGACACCTTGGGGCGGCCCGCTGCCAAGGAAGTGCGCTTTGAAGATCACTGCAAGTACAAGTACCTCTTCAACTTTCGCGGAGTCGCTGCGAGTTTCCGGCTCAAACATCTCTTCCTGTGTAAGTCTCTTGTCCTTCACGTTGGTGATGAGTGGCTCGAGTTCTTCTATCCGCAGCTGAAGCCCTGGGTTCACTATGTGCCTGTCTCAGTGGATCTCAATGAGGTCGAAAAGCTACTGGAGTTTGCAACGGAAAACGACGAAGTGGTGCGTGAAATAGCTGAGCGGGGCTACGATTTCATATGGAAACACCTGAGAATGGAAGACGTGCAATGTTACTGGCACAAGCTGCTGAAAAAATATGCAAGTCTGCTGCGGTACAAGGTTAAAAGAGACAAGTCTCTTGTAAGAATCACAGAAAAACGCTGAGCTTTGCCATAATGACTGGAAGAGACCTACAGCCAAGTACCATTTCTTTAGTGCAGTGAAAATCTTCATGGTCAGAATCTCAAATGTTATGCAAAATTTTTATCATTTTATTATAAGCATGGGCATGGAGTCGAATGATACAAACATGCTCGAAGCAGTGATAGGTGAGCGCAAATTAACGTTTCCTGAATGGACTACTGCTACTTCACTGGAGGCAGCTTCCTTCTGGATATCAACCACCCATCAGAGTTCTCCCAAAAATCTGCTACCAAGTTCCAAGTGTGCCTGTGTTTCGTAAAAAAGAATGGAGCAGAATTGTAACAGCAAGTGAACATTTGTAGCGGTCAAACCTCATGTGACAGCCTTTCCCGGTGGTGACTTGCAAAACTTTATGCACACAGCTAGTGGCCGCCGTTCAAAGACAAAATCATATCATCGAACACTCTAAAAAATTGGCCCCATATCTGCATGTTAATCTGTAAATGTCGTCGAAAGACGCTAGTCCTGCGTGTGGAGAGAGTGAACAAAACATTTATTTGATGTTCTGCGCAAGAAAATCGGTGAATGGTATTCTGGAGGCGCTGCATTAGAGTGCCTCGAGCGTGCGGGGGAGGCGAATGAGTGCATCAAGTCACGTCACACGTGAGACATGAGTGCCATCTGGCAGTTTTCTTAGAAAACCAAGCGCGTGGCTCTGAGATGGGTGTGCACACCTGTCTCGGAGGTGATAAGGTGTAGAACGCAAGGCGACGGGTAGGTGCCACCACCGTCTCGTTTAACAAAGTGTTGGAAACACTCGCCTTTTCGTGCAAGCGTTGCATGGTCGGCGCAGCGTGATAAGCGCTACGGTCCTTAAAATTACTTATGTATCCCTTTTCTAGTAAAAGACGCACATGCAGAATACATACGTGTGGTTATGGTGCCCCAGACATACGCAATAATTGCTTTTTAATTGACAATCGCACAAGTATGAAGCCAAACCTTGAGTAACAATGTTGGGCGTTGCGGATGGGGTCAACCGTTTCAAGTACGCGGTGTCGTTAAAGTGGACAAACACACAAATGTACAGGCAGACAGACCTAAATTTTTGCGTCGAAGGTCCCCAAAAAGACTATCGTCTTTAAAACGCTTTCATCCTTGGACAAAATAAGCAAAACGTAAGGGCCCACTTTTCTTTGTTACACACAGTGCTAATGAGCCAATAGACTATTGGTTCTCGCCCATTTTAATTAACATTGTGTCTAGCACAGAAAAAAAGAGCCACAAAATTCCCCTTGATTTCTTCATTCATAATGAGGGTCTCGTTCTGGCAAATTTGATGCCGTCAGGTAGTATGCAAGGAATTATTGGTCAGCTGCCAGCTCGTAGAAAATAATCACATGCTACTTGACACCAGTAAACAAACAAAAACAATGTTCTACACTAACCGTCATGACTAAGAGCAGCACTGACTAGCACTCCCGGGTTCAAATGCTTGGATATACCTAATAATGTTGATGGCAGGACGACTGCACCCATAGCTCAATTGATAGAGCATCGTGCACATTATTCAAAAGTTGAAGGTTCACTTCCTGGTGGTAGCAAATCGCCTTTTTGTCCTCTTTAATTTCTTCACATCATCATCAGCCTGACTACGCCCACTGCAGGGCAAAAGCCTCTCCCATGATCATCAAATCAACCCGGTCTTGTGCTTTATGCTGCCACGTTATACCAGAGCACTTGTTAGTCTCATCAGCCCTCCTAACTTTCTGTCTCCACTTCGTGCGTTTGCCTTCTCTGGGAATCCAGTCAGTTACACTATATGACTAGCGGTCATCCTGCCAACATGCTACATGTCCGGCCCATATTCATTTTTTTTTTCTTGATTTCAACTACGATATCCTTAACTCCGGTTTGTTCCCTGACTCACTCTGCTCTCTTATTGTCTCTTAAAGTTACACCTATCATTTTCCTTTCTATTGATCGCTGCATCCTCCTTAAATTAAGCTGAACCCTTTTCGTAAGCCTTCAGGTTTCTGCTCTGTAGGTAAGTACCGGCAGGATGCAACTGTTATATACATTCCTCTTCATGGCAGATCACTCTTCAAGATTTGAGAATGCTTGCTGAATGTGATCCACCCCATTTTCTAGTTGTTTCAGACTCATGGTTCGGCTCCATGGTTACTACCTGTCCTAAGTAGACATATTCCTTTACGACTTCCAGCGTCTCTGCACCTATTGCAAAAGGCTGTTTTCTGCCGAGACTGTTGCACATTACTTTAGTTTTGTGCATATTAGTTTTCAGACCTACTCTTCTGCTTTCCTAGTCTAGGTCAGTAATCATGAGCTGTAATTCGTCCCTTGAGTTACTCATCGAGGCAATGTCATTAGCGAGTTGCAGGTTACTAAGATACTCTCTATTAACTTTTATCTCTAACTCTCCCCAATATATGGCCCTGAAAGCCTCCTTTACACATGCGGTGAATAGCATTGGAGAGACCGTGTCTCCCTGCCTTACACCCTTCTTTATTAAGATTCTGTCGCTTTCCTTATGGAGAACTATGGTGGCTGTGGATCCACTGTAAATTTCTTTCAGTATGTTTATGTAGGGTTCGTTGATGTCCTGATTTCGTAGTGCCTGCATTACTGCTGATGTTTTGAATGAGTCAAGCGCCTTCTTGTAATCTTTGAAAGCTATGTATAAGGGTTGGTTGTATTCTGTGAATTTCTCTATTTCCTGATTTACAATATGATTATGGTCTATTGTGGAGTAGTATGTCAAAATTATCCTTGGTCTTTTGGTTTATTGAACTCTAATGTCGCCATAATTCTATTAGCGATTATTTTTGTAAATAGTTTGTAGAGAACGGACAGTAAGCTGATCGGTCAGTAATTTTTCAAGTCCTTGACGTCTCCTTTCTTATGGAATAAAATGATGTCGGAGTACTCTCAAGATTCTCGTACCCTTCCCGTCAATAGACACTCCGTATATAAGATGGCTAGTTTTTATAACACAATTTCTCCGCCATTTTTCAGCAGGTCTCTTGTTACCTTATCCTCACCAGTGCGTTTTCCTCTTTGCATTCCTTCCAAGGCTTGCCTTACTTCCGCTGTCATTACTGGTAGAATGTTGAATTCTTATGGGCGATTATGACTTCGTAGGATATCATCCTGGTCGTTTCGGCTTCTGTACAGCTCTCTGTGGAGCTCCTCCACCACCTCAACTATTCTATTCATATTGGTTATGACATTACCTTTCTTGTTCCTTTGCGTATACAACCGATTTCTGCCTATGCACAAGTTTGGCTTCACAGCTTTTAGGCTTCTGTCACTTTTTACAGCCTGCTCAATTTACTCCATGTTATACCTTGTGATGTCGGCTACTTTACGCCTGTTGATTAACTTCAAAAGCACCATTAGCTCTATATTGTCGGTTGCATTTGAGGCTTTTATGGTATGTTGTCTTTTAATGAGATTGTTCATCTTCTGAGATAGTTTGCCAGTGTCCTGTCTAGTGACTGTACTTCTGACTTCCATTGCACGCTTTTTGAGTGTGTAATGGAAGTTATCTCTAACTAGCATTGACAGTTTTTCAGCAATAGTAGCATTTCTTTGCAAACACTTTCAGTCTGCATCATTAAAGAAACTGGGAATCACATTTCTTGAAGTCTAAAAAAGGAGGGTTTAGCAATGAGCAAAAGGCCTTACTTAAATATATAGTACTATTGCATAAATAATTTTAAGAAGCTAGTTGGAGTGGAGGTGTACTGATTGCTACATTCTCTTTTTTCCACTCATGCTTACTAGTTATGTGCTGTCACCAGTGCCACTCAGCCCCATTGGAAAAAAACCAGTGGCACCACCTTGTTCAAATAAAAGAGATATCAATATGCATCAGGTCGAAAATGGCACTTCCATTACTATTAGCTGTTGTTGACCTTGTGAAAACAACTTCAATTATTGGAAATTTGGTGCTACGACAGATGCAACCATTCATTCCAGTTTTTTTCTTGTATACCCTCCTACTTATTGACTCGGCTTTGTGTTGTGTGGGCAGGTTGTCACTGATCAATAGTATTTGCAGTGAGCAAAACAACTTTTTACGTGTGCCGCACGCTTGTATTTGTCGTCTTATGAAACTGTCACTACAAATTTTTATTTTTGCACCCTATATACAAGATTTTTATTTGCTACGTCCTCTTACTCACTCGTTCTTTTTGTAGGTGTTGTCTTTTGGAGAATTTTTACTAAAAAGTTTTCATGCTGGCAAGAATGTTGTAAGTGTAACTTTGGAAACACAATCAGTTATACAGGACTGCAATATCAGGTCACCATTTGCTATGGCTAACTTAAAGGGTTCTAGAAGCATTCGGATTGTAGGCTTTCCCCACGCACACACCCATGGTTTTTAGGCATGGTTGTGTGTTAGGGGGGGGGGGGGGTAAATGGAATGCAAGCTTGCATGCCTCTGTGAAACCAATCAAAGCTGATGCATTTGCAAATGTTTCAAGCTCCCATCACGTCCCTTATTCATTCGCCCCCCACAAAGCCTCTGCCCGTAAGATAGTGCGTCCCAATTGTGTTTTGCATGGGTGCCAAAAAAAATTGACAAACATGTTGACATTTGCACAGTAATGAAAATTCATTGAACAAGCAATGTTGCTGGAGCCAACCTTTCGATGAGTGGACTTGTCTTTGTCAAGACAGCGACTGCCTTCAAAATGAAAAGTTTTTATCTTCCCCTCAACTTCTGTGTTTAAAATATGTGAACGTTCCACATTCGCACATTGTGCTGCTGCTCCAGAATGTGACCATGGGCTGTGTAGAATCTGTCCTGCTATGCTTCAGCAACTAATGGACCAGGTGTGCATGTGTTGTCACTTCGTATGTTGTACATTTTCCAGAAGACCAAACAGCCACTGTTGGCATCTTGAAGTAAATGTTGAAGACAACTGCTGTTACTCTGACAGTTTATTCCTTGATTAACAAAAGGAGCTCACTGGAGCGACAACGTGAGCTGGAAAGTTTTGAAAGAACGTGTAACTGTTGGTAGCATGAGCAAATACCAGTTTACCTGATAAGGTGGAGGAGATGATGAGAAGAGTGGCTAAATGCAACATGTTACTCCAGTTTCATTGGTGAAGGAATGCAGTTATGGCTTTAACTGTGAGGGTGATGGGGAGGGTTTCATGAGTTCGAAATTCCGTTCAAATTTTCGTTCCTCAGCTTTTTAGGTCCTACAATTATTGAAGGACTCTTGTCATACTACTATACTTACATGGCTAATTCATGACTGCCAGTTCCTAAAACTTTTTTCAAAGCTATTTCTACACAAGTTGAAAACGAATGTCTGACGATTATATGTAAGCAGTGTGCATGAATCACACACAAAAACAGACCAGTATAAATATTTCGAAATGGCTGCCATTCTACACGCACCCACCACCCTACAGAAGATTCGTGAGTATGGCCCTCGCAGCAAAGTTGTAGAGGCCCAAAAATTGCTAGCTGGTTGGATCGAA